ATGGATACGATTCATTATTAGATTTATTTTTTGATTCAATGTGGTAATATCTTTTGAAGAAACAATAATAGTGGTATCATCTGCGTAAAGAATGATATGAGCTAGACCTTTTAGGATACTAGGAAAGTCATTGATGTAGACATTAAACAGTAATGGACCCAATACTGAGCCCTGGGGAACACCATGCCTGCTAGTTAACCATCTGGAAACAGAAGTGTTAAGGTTTTGAGTCTGTAATAGAGTTCTCTGCTTCCTGTTAAATAAGTATGATTCAAACCATTTCAAAATGGATCCTCTAATTCCATAATGTTCCAACTTTTGAATTAACAAGTCATGGTTAACGCAATCAAATGCCCTTGTAAGGTCACAAAAAATACCTACTACCAGTTCCTTATTATTCCATGCTTTATATATTGAGTTTGTTAAGTTAAAAATTGCATTTTGTGTCGATGCACCATTTCTAAATCCATATTGCTCATCAACAATAATATTATTATTTGTCAACTGTTGTTTTAACAGTAAAACATTTCTGAAAGCAAAGAAACATCAGAGAAATGATGTATCAATTAGATTATGCTAGATATTTAATCATTCGTGGATTTAAGGAACTCTTCCTATGACCATGCTCACAATATGTCTGATGTATATCAAGGACTCAAATTCAGTCTTGAGCTATGAAATTTGATAGCTTATAAATGGAAACAAAGGAACACAGCTTTGAGAAATTTAATGGTATGTTGTTGAAAATAATTTTATATCACAGAATGAATTCAGACGTGTTTATATGGAGAATCATAATGACAGATTTTTGCTTTATTGAATGCCACTGTTTCAGCTTCTTGGTAGTGTAGTGTAAAATATATGAATGATGAATTGTAAATTATGTAGAAGGAAATAGCTGTGGCCATTTTTAAGGTACTGTAACAGAATTTTCATGGAGGAATTGAGGAAAGCCCCGAGAAACGATTAGGGCAGCCAGTCTATAGGACAGGATGAAAATTGTTAATATAATGAAAAACTGAAATTTGTGTAATGATGACAATCATTGTTATCTTGTTATACTTACTGGGAACATTTTGCATGAATCTGATACATTCTTTGATGTTACTAACATTTTGTATGGCTTCAGGGATCTAGGAACAATTGCTGAATAATGCATGATTCAATATTTAATTGCATGGAAAGGGATTAGATTGTTTCACAACAAAAAGTGCAAAAAAAGAAAGACAACATTTCCTAAAAAATAAGTACATTTTAAGTTTACTCTTTTTTACATGATTGTATGTTTTATTGTATCAAGTAAAACACATTTAACACTTTATTTACGTGTATAAAAATAAACAAGAATACAGTGTGTTATGTCCGAAGCAGTAATGAAAAGTGAAAGGAGAACATAAATGAGGATGTTTGAAGGAAGTGAAGAATTTAAGTTCCAGTTATTCTGATGTCAGGGATGAAGAGGGTGACAAGAATATCAGATGAAAACTTTGGTTTGTTCATGGAAAGGACAGGTAAAAACTAACCATATAACACCTGTGTTTATGAAGGTACTAAGTCACATTAAAAAATGATGAAAATAATGTGTAGGGAAAGGAACACGGTATGCAGATGTTATTTTTAACTACAGTACAGGATTTGAAACTTTACATTTCAGAACAGTTAAGCATCCATGTACTGTATCTTGAATTTAAAACTTTGAACTGATATATTCTATGTGAATATACTACAGGGTATTTCATCAAGGCCTGACTGATTTTAAAGTATTTATTTTGTTTAATTTGTGGATGCAGGGCCCATCTACAGCAGAAAGGACAATCACTACTTTGCCAGGAACCCTAAAACTCTTTATAATATATGACACGATTTAATACTACATTTAAAGTAACATTAGAAATATAAATAATTTAAATTGGTCAGGTCTTTATAAAACACACTGTATGAATAAATCTGTAGAAGAACAATATTTTAATTACTGTAGGAAGTCATAAATGTTGTACAATTTATGCACAGAACTGTCTAATCGTTGTCTAAGGATCTTTACCATCCAGTAATCTAGTTTATTAGCTACCTGTACATACCAACATATAAAGACTGGCAATATGTTAATGCTTATTACATAAACACACACACACGGTGACTTTAAAGTGTCTATCTTTTCTTCCTACAGCAAACATTCGATAATAATCCATCTCACTTCATACTAACAAATCTAAATTGATTAGTAACCAAATATACTATTTACAGACATATATAATAATTATTATTCTATTTTAATATAGAAATTATATACTTATTCCGATGAATCGTTTATAAAGTGAATAACTTTTGAGCATTTGAAAAATATCAAAACCTGTCCATTGGCAGGCCAACTCCATCAATCTGCTCTCTCTCTCTCATTTTAAGATATACATACACTCACAGCTAAGTACACCATCCACTATCCACAGAACAAATATGATATGATACAGGATTTCTGACTGGCTGTTCAGAATAATGATTTGCCTTGATACATGGTTTATGCAATCATAATCAATTCAATCCAAATATATTAGATAATATTGTAATATGTATAGCTAGGCAATGGTGTGATAAACATCTTCTTGCTTAAGGTCATGGAAGAATAGGATGAATGTTTATAGCTTTTGCTAGGCAACAGTCAATGCACCAATGGACTGGCAAGATAGTTATCACTGTGCCATGTAACAATAAAACTGTGTTTTCTGTGCATGGTCCAAGCCAAGAGGATATGAGAGAATATGAGAATGGGAATTGATTTCACTTGAGTTCCAAAGTTCCAAGAGAACAGCAATGTGGCCAGAAGAAGAATTAGAAGACTTAGTGTGTGACATTAAATGTGCTACAGTTACAGTAATCTTGAGAGTGTAAGAACTAATTGTAGTTACAACTACTGAAGATCCAATAAACTGATTCATGAATCCAAACTTGCGTCTTAGTCACATAACAATATAGATGATTAATTCTGGTTGGAAAATATCTGAAAGGATCAAGTTTCAGGCACAGGATCATGCCATCTATATTCAGTTTTGAGACAGCAATGTCTGCAAGACAGAGAATGAAGTATAAAGAAATAATGTAATAAAGAAAGTACATTTTATATGTGGCTTCAGCTTTTCAGACTAGGCCACATCAAACGTTGAGAGTTCTCCAGTGTTTCAGAAATCCTTGCAGCTACCATCATCAGGATTAATGACTTTGGGAAGGGGTTTGGCAGTTCTTATATAGGCATTGCCTTTGGCAATGTTTTGCACTAACAGAAGGACAAGATGCTAACCAACAGGCAGCGGCCATATGATTAGCAAAAAGAGGAGATGGAAAATGTTCTGGCAACCAGGTTGTACTGAGAAAATGAGGGGGGATATTTCAGGATCTCCATGTTTTGGACAAGAGACAATGGAAGATTCCCCCTCCCCCTTTTTCTCTTTTCTTGCTTCATTTCTTCTTTTTATTCCCACTTTGACAGGAAATGGAATTCATTGACTGATAAATGTGGGTGGTTCAGTGGTGAATTTTCAGAAGTGAAGACTGGCTCTACTATAGCAGTTAAAACCTGATAGCCAGCATCTAGAATTTAAATTTGCTATTCTGACACAATGAAGGTTAAAAACAAACTTATGTGCATCTGAAACACTTCCACTATGCCCATATCAGTTGGTCTGTGGATAGTGAACTATCAGCAATTTTTTAAGGTCTATGTGAATTATTAGTGCTACATTTAAGAATGACTGAATATTCTGTTATTTTAACTAAATCTATTCTTATTAACACCACTACAATACAATATATTACAGACCATTGTCTTTTCACTTTACAAAGCAGTATAGAAAATACACATAACTTTATAAAGGCGACCCCTGTAATAATGTACTGTATTACAGTAATACAGATGATGCTTAACTACACAAAGAGCACAATGACCTACTGCTAAATGGAATATTGTTAGGGAAAGCTTCTGTCTCATATATAGGTGTTGTTTGGTTACCATGCGGTCACTTCAGTGCATGATGCCCCACTGAGATCAGCCTCAGCTTATCGACAGAAGAGCACAAAGTTCCTCTAATAAGGCTTGCAGACTACATGTAGACTCCTATCATCTTTGGCTGCTCAGAAATTAGTGTTTCACTTCTGACAGATTATAATTCACTGTATGTCAACATGGCAGTATGAATAAGGTCTAATGTAAGGATGAATGAAGGAGTTATTGGGGAAGTCTATGTTGACATACTTTCAGATATCTGAGATAGTGAACTTCCTGATAATTCACCAAACTAATGACAGTGATAGTGGCCAATTTTGTTAAGTTACAGTGCATAATGATTCAAGTTGAGCAATATCATTCACAGATACACTACCAGATAATGTTCTGATAGATCACAATAAGAGTGGCATTGTCATAAATATGTAAAAAATAGAAAAACATATTTTTTCAGTGTAGCATTTGAAGTAGAGTAACATAAAATGAGTGTAAATTGAAGTATTTAAATTTTAACAGGCCAGTATGCAATTTGTTAACATAATTAATTAACATACTGTATTCTGACAACAATGCATAACAACAAACAGAGGTGAATATTCTATACTTACAGAAAATATCCCATATCCACTTCTTTAAATGTACTTATGAGAACGATCAAGTATGTCCATGAAACAGTAACTGTGTCCTGACTATCACTAACTTGCACTACCATCAACTGCTTCTCAACTGTGCGCAACTTACCTGAAATGTAAATTTCAGTATAAAACATGAACTTCACAAAACTTAAAACTAATTGAAACATAATAATTTCACTTAACAAATGTGGCCTTTTCACCCTGGTCTGTTCCTCAGTAAACTCACTTCATGCACCATATAACTCTTAGCACATATGGAGTAATAAATTAACTACATTCAGAATAGAGGCTTGCAGGTAACAGAACTTTTATGTTCAAGCTAAATTTGAACATTGGTGGTACAGAATTCTTATTATCACAGTAGAACACCCATATAAGATTTCTTTTGGAAGCAGTGGATTCCAACATTCAACTGAGGAGAATTTTTAATGGAGGTAATTTACATCAAGGACACTAAAGTAGAGTTTGTATATGTTATGAACAATGCTTGCCAAGAGGCACAATGATTACTAATTAGAACCATTTCCTATTCTGAAGGCTAATGAAAGCAACATAACAGCAAGACAGCTCCATTTTTTGAGAAAGGAAAATAACTGAATATATCAGATTTTTCATTTTCATAAATGTGTATTAAGTTAGTGAAAAACTTAGCAGCCTTTCATATAACATTCTGCTTATCCTTCATTATTCTAGCAACACGCTGTTTACTACCTCCAGAATCTCTGTCACATAAGACAAAGACAATCTGAACAGTGCAGAGCATTTTGCCTTTGTGAAATTACACATACAGTAGGCACTCACTGCACTGCAGATGCAGATATACTGCAGCTTTGATCATGTCTCCCACTACAATTACACAAGTTTTATGTCATATAGATTTCTATGACATTTTAGTTAGAGTGTAAGACTACGTCACAACATTCCTTGCTGGTGTGTGCAGGTCCAAAGGGTAAAGTCCATAGTCACTACAAATAGGTTGTACATTTCTCTAACCTTGGGATTATTTTGTTATAACAGAAAAATTTAAAGAGCATACCTTCTAACTACTCAAATTCAGATGGTCAGAAATCCCAATGAGCAATTAGAGAGGTTAAGTCCCAGAAGCTATCACATTTCACTAAATACTATATATATAATAACAGGGATTCAAAAAGTAGATAAATGTCAGTTTCGTTTGTAACATGAGTTAGTATGTAATACGGGTATGAAGCTGTCCCCTGACACCCACTTTATATCCAGGATGTGCTGTACTTGTGTAAGAGCTTACAGAGAAATGAAAAATAATTTTAAATCCATTTGAAGAAGATCATCAAGTAATGAAAACTTTGTTGTCCTCTCTCTGGGTCCAAGTCCTAACCTCAGTGCTGGTGGTAAGTAACACTCTGTATCTTCATTTGTAAAGCAAGGTGTGGAAAGAGAGTGCAGGAGGTAAGGAAACTACCGAAGCTCAATTTATAAGAGGATTGCACAGGTCTATCACAACTACTCACTGTGGTGCCCAGTAAATCATGCAGCTGACCTTTGCTGAAGGCGCTGCTCCATTGTGATATACTGCCTGATCAGGCGGGAAATCTCATGAGCCTGGTCTGTTTGCAGTCGAGTGATACGTTGTTGCATGAGGTTACCACATTTCATATCCAAGAAGAGCGTCCCATCTTCTGATTTCACTTTCCGGGTGGAGATCACTTCTGAGAATGGGTAATGAATTAATGTCTCCTGGAAACATAACAGAAATTTATTCAGATTTACATAATTTTGCATTAATTTTGAACAGCCTAATATCTTGGTTAAGGCATTGACCTACATTTTAATCCTTTAATTCTTTTCTCCCTAACACACCTATGTTCTGTGCCAAATGGAGATCTGTAATTACCAGAGCAGACAGACAGACTAGGCATGGTTTGGGTTTACAGAAAAAACTCCCCAAAACAAGAGTGGAAACATATTGTAACGTATCGTAACATATTGTAACTATTCTCCCGCTATGCCATCCACGTCACAATATCCTCCAGTTGGAGTACATATATTTTTAAGTCATTGATTGTGATGCTCGTTAATTGCAGGCATAAATACATGGGCTATTTGGAAAGTAAGCTCTGTTTATTTTACGCAACTAACGTAGGAGTCAGGCAGAGCTTGTGCATGTGAGGTAGTGTCATGTGACTCATTGCTGTGTAAACAATCATATAACTGGTCACCTACTGTTTGTTTTTGTCTCTAGAGAGTGAGTTATGATATGTCCTACAATTGATCATCCCGTCAGCTGCGAAATTCGCAAAGTTATCTGTTTTCTTCATGCTAAAAACATGAGCGCTGCAGAATCCATCATAAATTATGCACAGTTTACAGTCAAAAAAATTAATGAGTGAAGGAACTGTAAGACATCGGTGTAGAATGTTCCAAGATGGACAAAAAAATATTCATGATGACCGTCTGTAGTGAGTAATGATATTGTTCAAAGAGTTGACCAAAAAATTTGTGAAAGACAGTTTCATAATTTCAGAACTTTCATGTGAATTTCCACAAATTTCATAAATTTTTCTCTATGAAAGTATCACAGTTAGGCCAAGCTATCACAAGTTCTGTGTAAGATAGGTTCTGAAAATGCTCGCGGGTGTGCACAAAATGCAGAGAATGGCTTTGACTTTTTTTTCAGTGGTACCACAAAGATGACAAATTTCTCAATCACATTGCATGATTAACAGGTAATGAAATTTGGATTTCATGTATAAATATTGAAACCTAAGAGCAGTCAAAACAGTAAATGCACACACATTTTCCAAACAAGCAAATGTTGCTTGCCAGAAAGCTGATGGATGGCAACTGTTTTCTGGGACAGGAAAGGAGTGCTGATGGTGGAATTCATGCAACAAGAGACCACAATAACATCAGATTGCGAAACATGAAAAAATCTGCATAGGGCCAGCCATTCAGAACAAAGGGCATGGAATGCTGACATCTGGTATAGTGCTCTTCCGTGACAATGCATGTCCACATACAATTACAGCTGCTTGCACTCAAGCACTGCTGGAGCGTTTCAACTGGGAACTGATTGACTACCCTCCTTAGTGACCATGTTGAGAAGTAGCTCAAGTATGTACATATTTTATGTATTTAATAAATTCTTTTTTCACTGCTTGTTTAGTTAACAGCTCACAGGTCACTTTCCAAATAGGCATCATATATATCTCATTATATATCATTCCTTCTTCAGAGTGAGTAATTTTTTGGAGAACATTTATGAAGTTCAATTTCAGATTTGTATCTAAATTGGTGATGTATTGGACTGATATGGACCAAAATTATAGCTGCCCACACATTAAGATTGAAGTCTTAGGTGTAACACCATGTAATCTGATAGTTACCAACATTTTGCAGTAACCTGCTGCCTTTATCTTCAAGGCACTCTATCCTGCTCTAGCAGATAGAGGCAGTGGTGATACAATAGTAACCATCTATCACTTTACATGGTACTACAGCTCACAACACAGTCTTAATTATATAACATCTCTAATTTAATTTATTTAACAGATTTAATTGAAACTGATTTTTCAGAAGAAAAGGCAGGGAGATGGATGGACAGACAGACAGACACCATTTCTCTCCCAAGCACATTTATTTTATGCACTTTGTGTACAGGGCATATAAAAGTGAGTAAATTAAAGTTATTATGACACAGCAAAATTGAAGTAAATGTAGGCTATTTGTGGGTTCCTTCCACTGTTATTTTATTCAATATATTATGAATGGTATGAATTATGTTTGGTGTTCAAATCCACTGCTCCTCCGTGTAACCTTAAATGTGAATTTTGCTGTGTACAGAAGTAAAGTGTATGAGTAATATGGTAGTGGTTATATTTGTAACATGAAGCACGAAATTTTGATGTGCCTGCACTACTATGTGGACTGTACTTGACTGTTATTATAACAGAAAATTCATATATGCCTTGCAAACATTTGGCCGAAGAAATTAGATTGAATTCATAGCAGGCTGTTTATCGTTTTGATGTCACATTTTTATGTTGTAACACTAAATGACACAGATTACAAATGATACTTACATGGGTGACAAGATCGATGAAATGTACACCCTGCCTGTTTAGTGCCAGGATGTGATCTGAACGTTCTTTTGGATCAGAGACTCGTTTCACAGCAAAGAAACTTGAACCAAAAAGAGGCCACTTCGACAAAATATCTAGAGAAGAACACAGCTATGTTACAGACAGCATAATATGTAAAATGTTTATGTTGAATCATTCACTGATGGAAGAAGAGTCTGACAAATGTATTTTACTTCACTGATTTAAAATTTTCTTGTGTGGAAGAAGTGATATACTTTACATTCTCTAGTACAGAGTCTTTGAAAACTTAACTGTGTATGTTAAATCTAAACTTCACCCAGGGTGGGGGGAGGAGTTTCAAGATTTGTGACATGGATCAACATGATCATTAAGTGGTCTATGCTACATTTCGCTAAGACCCATTTCAGTACTATTATCTATAGTAAGTAATGAACTTACACACAAAGCATGCTGTATATACAGAATGCCTATCAATTTGTAATGTTTAAATATTTTATGTATTTGCTTAAAATTCATCATCATCGACAAAAGAGCCCTTTTTGGCCATAGCCATCCTTAGAAGATCCTGTTAGATTTTCCTATTCTGTTGTGGATTAGACCATCCAGTTTTCAGTTTTTTTTTGTTTTTTTTTTTTTTTTAATTTTGCAACAGTAATTTTTTACACAGCAAGTCATCAGCCTTGCATCAACCCCCAACCTGGAGGACCAGGTCTCTGCATTTATGTCCCCCAGTGACAAAGTAGCCCATAACACTTCCAGGTGCTGGATTACCATTTTGTCACCTTTTACAACTTGCATGGCTATAGTGAAGGTATTCTAACCTACTTCCACATGAGACTTTACTTTAAATGATCACACTTAATAAATAGCTAACATGCATGTGCAGAAAAATATGCATGAATAATCTGTGTTTTCTCTACATCCTAATAATGATGTGACAGCTGGGCATTATATGTTTTCCCCTCCTGAGTGTGATGGGAATTGACTACATGGTTTTATTTTGTATCCTAACAAAGGCATTAGTGTGGGTTATCCAAGAGTATAACAAGTATTGTGTAAAATAATGGTTAAAGGAATTGTTCTGAATTTGAATTAATGCATTTAAAAGCAAATTGTATAATTTTTTCCAAGTTTTCGTTTCTCAAACAATGTACTTTTTTATTTATACCTACCATCATTATTAGTTTTTGAGATACACAGCATTATGGACAGATGGACAGACTTTGAATTATAAATACAGATGTCAAGAGAGAGTTTAGACAATTTTTGATTGTTTCAAAATGATACTGACCTAGAACCTGTGCCTTGGACTGAATTGTGGTCAGCATCTCGACATCTCTCCAATTGCTCTGCACCATGTTCACCCACTGTGCTGGCTTTACATCTCGCACTGTAAGTGCAGGCTTTGGCAGCAGGAACTTTGTTTCCTTCATTGTTGGCACATGAGTCATATCTGCTGCTCGGTGTAGCAAGGCTGCCATCTTTGCAATGTCATACTAGAAAAACGTAATTTAATATTAATTTAATAAAGGAAATGAATGAATGAGCAATCTTCAACAATTAAAATGTTAGCTTAACTGTGAATAGTAACACAAGTGCCAATCTTCATTCCATCAAACTCTCCATAACCATAACCACCCAGGATATATATCATTCGAATCATAATTTTATTATCTTTGTATACTATTATATCATTGTGTTATATATTGTATTATTATTATTACTTATTGTATTTAAAGTATTGACTTGTCCTATATCATGTACAATGATCCATGGATATGATATGAAATAAATAAATGAAATAAATAAATAAAAGAAGAAGCAGGGGTGTCCTTTTCTACAAAATATTCCAGCATTAATCATATATCTAATAAATCCACATCATTAGATAAACCTGTTTGGTTTCATTTACTAACAAGTGTTGATAACTTACAATGACATCTTGGTCAAGCTGTTCTCCTGGCATGATGAGGAGCAGACCTTCCAAGTAGTCTGGAGCTATTTGATTGAACACAACTTCCACATACAACTGGGAGTCTAGTCGCAAAGGAAAGTGCCACACAGAGCGACAGAATATCAGGTAAAACACCTGGTGAAAGATAATACATGATGTATGTAACCATTTGGTGTTTGAACTTACATACATACAGACAGTTCTGGTATGCAATTACAGCTACTAAAATTTGGCACACAGCCCTGTTACTGGTCAAACACATTGAAACTGTTACTTTTTTGAATGAATAAGAACTTTATATTTACAGTTACATTATCTTGTATTTACCGTTATTTTAATTGATGTGAAAGAGAAAACAAAATGCAATAGAACTGTATTTTACAGAACCAAACATGTACAGAAGTACTAACCTTCGATTTCAGTGGGAAATACAATTTTCCACAGATTTTATAACTGCTTTACTACAGAAGACTGTCACAGACATCACTCTGAGGAATGCCTGTGCATTATTTGTGCTCAGTTCCTGAACTACATTTTCTTTATGAAAAAAAGAAAGGGAGGATAGGGAGATCATCAGCTTTGTTTTCTCTTCCTAAAGCACAAAGCTCAGTTTATAGTTTAGTTCACTGTGGAAAACCTGACAAAAATTTTCAAGTTCTGTAGTCCAGAATTTTCAGTATTATTGCTTTGCACTGGCGCAATTTCCCAATTTAACATATAACTAAACATCCATTGTCATAAATTTATAGAGAAGATAAGCCTTCTGATACATGATAACAAGTGAACTAATATTTGAAAGGAAACAAGGAATTTGTCACCAAAATGAAGACATGCAAATACCTGTTGGTTTTTATGTAGTTCTGTGGTGACATCTAGGATGTATTCTTCACGAGCTAATGGCATGGTGAATGTGTCACCCTCCACTATGCAGTATAGTGAAAATTCTTCCATCTCCATTTCTCCTCCTGTCACTCCAATTACAGTACACAGTTCCTCAATAACATCCTGCAACACACAATCAATTCAGTTGCAGCAAAACCCTGAAACTTCCAGAGTTACAGTCTGAGCTGTATCATATGTCCATCAATATTCACTGCATCATTTTCTCTGTACTGACTGTTTAGGCTGGGGCCACAGAGTGAAGAGATCTATCATCTGGGATATACTGCTATCTAGGTCAGTGATCTATATAATGTTATATCCTAGAAGACAGAACTCTTCATAATCACCAATGTGAGAATCTAAAATATCTGTGCACTCTTTTTAATACAAATATGATATTATGTAAATATCAGACAATTTTTAAAGCCGTCTGCTCTCAAGGAAGTCAACATCTTCATTTTATAATGTTCTTTGTCAAGACAGTGGTTCAAACAAATTATTGCACATATTTATATCCAAATTCATTACACAATTTTCAAATGCTCATTTCAACATTAATTTTATCCATTAACTAAGTACACATGCACCCACATAAATACCAACCCACCAACCCATATACCCACCTACCCACCTGCCCACCCAAATAGGAATCATCAGTACAAAGTTATGACCAATCTAATTATACACCTGCCTGTTCCCACAGTTTTGATCATGGTAATGTAGATATTGATTTCCAGGTAGGCATTATCAGAAAAGAGACTTTGTATGACTAACAAACAGCTGAAAACTTTATTAAATTTTATTCAGCATGAGACTTTGAAATTATTATTGAAGGTTGGATGTGGACACTATCAAACACAGATGGAAGAAATATTGAGAGGCTGGTCTAGTGTATGGCAGTGGATCAAGCTCCAGGATCAGCTACCTTGATTTCCTTTCATTTCTAAGATAGTCCACGCTACTGCTGTGGTAGCATATTATGTGAGGCAACTTTGCACATCATCTTACTAGCATGAATAGTGAGAAGTGTGGATGTTTTTGTGGGCCGACACTACACCTATTTGAATAGGAAGAACAACATTCATTTGGAAAATGGCTGAATTCCATCTTTTCAGTCTGACAGTGGTCCATACTATAGGACTTATATATTGATTTCAACAAATTAATCAAGAAATATTGTCTTAAAGTCATACTCAGAAGGATCTAGAAGCATCACAAATGTTCAAACACCCTCAGCCTCCTTCCCACTCAATTCATTCTTCAGCAGTAAGAGTGCAGAACATGTGAAAATGAAGGTGGACATGATGGTACCTGAACAACGGTGGTAGATTTTGTGTTCACAACTCTCTCTGTTCCACCAGGTAGCCTGTAGATTTGACGTTTGGAGTTACGGCCAGCACTGATGGCCGTGATCTCTTCTACGCTGGGAACATTCTTCCTCCCTCCATACTTGAACGTTTTTCGAAGATTCTGAAGGCATACTGTTGCAGTACCTGTAAAAACAAATACTGATTTGATTACTGTGTGCTATTTACACAAAGAGAACATACACAGGGGAGGTAATACTTATCTGTACAGCAATGTGTTTTTTTTTAAACTGTTGAACTGACTATGCTGAAATTTAGCATCTGAAGGTCTACACCAGAAATTTGGAGTGAATAAGTTAGTTAAAGAAATTTATTGAAGCTCAAGTAAAATTTCACCAAAATTATGAAACAGAACTCATTGCCAGAAACTTTATAAACATTATAAAATACTGGTCTCATCAAGATGTGAAACTTGTAGTGAATATTTAATAAAACACAGGAGAAATATAATTTCTGGACTATATATTGTGATTAACATTAAAACAATATATTCTTATCAATAATAAAAAATACATTAAGGCAAATAAAGAAAGCAAAATTTCAAAGAACTTGTCTGAAGTATAATGTGGCATGTGAGATGGGCGTATATCCCAGGGCCGTCTCAACACAAACGATAGATGTACTGTTGGAAACAGGGTATTCCTAAGTAGGCTATGTCAAGGAGTTACAAGGAAGATAACTGTAGCAACAAAGTCAGTTCCATACAGGAATTTGTGAAGGGAGGACTTGGGTGCATAAAGCTGTAGATTCTTCTCTGTTAGATGTCATTGCTAGGAACAGCTGGTGAAGACAACAGCAGGCTGGAAAAGACTTGGCATGAACTATGGTGATTTGTAAACTGTGGAGAATAGCAGTGGTGTAGCAATTGCTTGTAGTTCTTAGTCCTGTATGTAAGTGGTCAATAAATCCATTCACCAATCCAAATCCTGTCTACAGTCACCCTTACACATGACAATATATATACTCTAGTAAAATATACACATTCATTATTAATATTTATGGTCATGTGATGCTATGTACTTGTAGTTTGGTAGACATGTACTACTTTAGAGCAAACTGCAGTCTCCATTATCTGAACTTGGGCAATGATACTAAAAAGTTTAAATCAGAGTTAAAGAATTATCTACATGCTCATTCCTTCTACTCTTTAGATGAATACTTCAATGTAAATAGAGAATGATGTAAAATTAAGTTATATTAATTTTTAAGCTAAAATTGCCTGTACTTATGTATGTAACCTTTTGACTTGTTCTGTATCCAAAGGTACTAACCTACTTAGGATTTATAGAATGTAAATAAATTCAATTCAATTCAATAACAAAAAAAAGCAGCATCTTCCTCCAAAATTTTGGTACATATCTAGAAAACTACATGGCATCATATCCTATAAGACTGTAATCTTAATACTCATTATTCTGAGAATGTCAAACCTCATATCTTCCATTCTTGTTCTACCCAAGCTCAGTGATATCAGTGTAGGCATCTGAATATGAGAAACCCAGAAGCAGAATAATTTGTGTAGAATGTGGATCCCCTTCTGGGGTGATGCCACCATGTGAATGTGGGCTGTATTGCTAACAATTCAGACATCCTTACTGTCTCTCTCTTCAAGAACAGGCAATGGCTGCCATCAGTATTTATGGTACATTTCCTCTATTGTGTTTAATTTTATATTCGGCCAACAGCAGTTTAATTACACGAATCATTGCTGACGGTGCAAGGCATTCTTTATGTAGCCGTACGTAACATTATTTTTCAAAGTAATTACAATACAACAACTACAAGTGAGCATCAAGAGGAAATCAAGTCATCAAAACAGAGAACATTCTTACCATGGTATGCCCGTCGCTTGTCGTACGCTGATGTCTCAAGGTACTTGAACAAGTATGGCTTAAGTGTCTCAGAACAGACAAAGTAGGCAGCAACAATGCTGAACAATCGCCATCCTCGCTGGCATGAGTCTGGTTTCATGGATTTGTTGTTAGTTGTCTGTTTCATCAATTGGCAATATACTTCATCCCTAAGCGCTTCGTGTTTATGGCAGTGCTGCAAGAAAGGAAGATACTTTTATAAAAAAAGAGGACACAGCAGAATCCAGGTGTGCGCCAAAATTATGTTCCAGTAATGATGACAACAGTGACAGCAGCAGCAGCAACAACAACAAAAACAAAATGGGAAGAAAGAAAGAAAGCAAAATAAACATTTTGTAAGATGTAAGTAACAGGTTCAGAATAAAGAAATATAACACAAACATGAAGCAATCACTTGCTTTTCCTACAATATGCATCGAACAAAAATCTACAAACATTGCAAAAGGGGTTAACAAGTGTCTCATGGAATAGAACTTGTTCATAGTAATATTATTATGAACAAGTTTTGTACAACTATTTCACTATTTTACCTACTTCACCTATCCTTACTCAACGTCCTGAATATATCTGTATATATTATTTGTATATACTAAGAATATGTGATAATTCCCATTGCTCACATGGAGTATTTTTAAAATAAGCTGTACCAAAACAATTAAGCTCCATATTGTGAAAATCTCTACATTAAGAAAAGATGACTTTAAGCACTGAATTGTTTTCAAGCAATAAAACAGTAATCCAAACAAATCACTTTATGCACTACAAGCATAACTATGGGTATCTGATAAACAGATTGGAGACTAAGAAAAGCAGAGAAACAAAACTATTTAGAAGATATGGGGACTGCACAAATATTGTATGTTGTGTGCAATTCTCTAACAATAAGAGAATTGGGTTAGAAAATAGCAAAAATGGGCTTCAATGGTTTAGTACACTAAATAAATTTTCCATCCAAGAAAATATATTGACACTGAAACATGTGTTCATTGTTATGTAGTTTCAAAGTATAAGCCTTCTGGAGCTGAGGATCAGGTGCAACTGATTTATAACACAATGCAGTGGCATTTCGAACATGATATTAAACCTTCACGTTCCACAGAAGAAATGAAATTTCTTTTTATTTGAATAATTGTCACTTTCTCAAGAATTCTGCTACTTGGATTTAGACCACTGAAGCCAAAATAATGAATGAATTTTTTAGTGTGACTGTTTGTTGAGTACTAAAGCATTTGAAGACCATATAAAAATGTTAAAATTCCATACTGTTTCCTGTGATATAACCTTGTGGTAGAACTAAACATGAAGAATTTCTAACATAGGGTGATATGTACATATTTTTGCTGCTTGGAATCCTAACATCAGAATGTTACAAGGTCATATCTGATATATGCAACTGTGTGTTCAGAGTTCGTTCCTTTCACCAATGAATGCTCTTTGCATCTGCCTTGTCCAGATCTCATGCTGCCCCTTCAGAATACCCATCATACCTGCCCTGGACAGTTACTGTCCAATATTGGTTTCTCTTAATGCAATGTTTTTCAGTTATTCCACGATAACGTTTATTTCTGACATAATGATGAAAATTCAGATATTTATAAATATTCTTGTTGCATGATATTACTAATAAGTATACCATATAAAATGCTTACCATAAGAATTGTGTAGACACACTTGACTTCAGTTGAATCTGGAGCCATTGACAGGTCCCCCATGTAACGCATTACAGCAGCAAAACACTCCACAGCCAGTTCACTTAGTTCCCCTGGTTCCAAGCGGAGTAGTGACTGTTCTATTGGCACTGAGCTGAATTTAACAAGATCAACCTGCACCCCATAGAAAGAGGGGTTTATAATTTAGACAGATTTAAGATAAAATTTTGTTAACAGTGTGGACAAACATGTACAGCACTCTTATAAAAACTGTAACCAGCATATTCTCTATACATTGTTTTAAGAAACATCATAAGATATCTAATATATAATCCAGATTATAATGTGCAATTGTAGAATGAATGAATTGAAGATTTTAATTATGAAAGTGTATTTATCTATTATAGTGAATAAACCCATGATTGCAAAAACAATTGGACTAATCATATCTTAAGAATGGACTCTTCAAGACTGATGCCAAAAATTAAGAATTACCAATCAGCAGGAAGAAGAAATGTTGACTGATTGAAAAAACAATGGGATGAGATGGAACAGGGCTAATAAAGGCCTAAATTGAAGTATATGATGATGAAATTAATAATGAATAATGACTGAAAAGAACCTGGAACAAAGCTATTTTGGGGTATTAGTCCAGCATTTGCCTGGAGGAACAAAGCAAATCAAGAAAAACTTTAGTCAGAAAAGACTATGTCTAGGCTGAGATGTAAATCAGAAATGTTCCTGCTTGAGCCAGGTTCCTAAGCATTAAAAGGGTGGATGGGATGATAATATTAAAACATATCTTACACTGAGAGGATGGGAGGTTATGGATTTGATTCATTTGACTTAAGGTAAGGACCAGTGGCAGATTCTTGTAAACCTGGTAATAAAATTTCAAAAATTGTTTAGGAGCACAACAACTGTTAACTCCTCTAGAGGAACACTCCTGTCTGAAGATTTCATTTAGTTAGTTAGTTAGTTTAATTGCCAAAAGTGTAATAAAATAATACAATATTTACTTATTTTAAAGTATTCATACTCATATTTAATTAAAAGGTGTGCAGTGGGGTGTGGTTAAGTAACAAAAGATAAATAAGGTTATGAGAAGATCATATTGTAGTGCCATGCAAAACAATATTGTCAAACCGAATAATTTCCACCCAATTTTTGAAGCCTTCAAAGTCCTTTGAATCTGCCACAAAGTTACCACACTACTTCTAATATTCAGATTTACTGACCTGTTCCTTCCATGTCCAATCATTCTCTTTGTTTCCTTTTTTACCTTTGTTCTTTTTGCTTGCTTTGAGGTTCTCAATGACCTTCAGGGAGCCAGAGATTGACCCATCAGCTGTCTTGAGCATCTCAAACCTGATACAAAACACACATTAAAAAGATTATAATAAGCATGATCCAGAGCTAAGAATTTAACAACATTATATTACAAAATAATAAATGAATACATTTTTTACAAGCCATTTATAACGAATAAATCAACTGAATAACACAATTGATGGCAGTTTGCTCAATTTAAGCACCAGTTGTTTAGTACAGAAATGTAATACAACCTTCCACAATATTAATATGCACAGCCAGTAACACATACACACGAAACATGCCATTTCATAAAAAAGTAATGTTGATTTATTAAGAAGACATCTGTGATTGCAGTCTGAGTGATATTTAAAACTTTTGAGGTATGGAAGAAAAGATTACAAATGTAGACAACATTAATCTTCTGAAGTTGAAAGTTGATTTAAATAATAAAGTTATACTGTAACATCCTATTGCACATTCTTTATTAATTAACAAATATATCTGATCAATGATGATCAAAACATGTAGTGTATAATGTGGTTATAAATAGGTTTAAAAGACTCATTGTGTATATGTAGCAAATTTTGAACAGATTTTTAAAAGAGTGTTGCATGTATGACAGAATATCGGAGATATTTGTGATTTAAATATTTTCCAATTCACAGAAAACACAAAAGCTCAATAAAAAATATAAAACTACAACTAAAATAAAGCAAACAGGAAGACCAACTGGTATATATTCTTTGGGAAAATAATTACTGTTTATTCTAAGAGTCACATGAAAGAGATAAAAGCACTGTATGGATAAAATGCAGAGTTTCTGAATATTAAAAAAAGGTGGTACATGAACACTGTCTTGCATTTCTGCAAAAAGCAATTTTATGTATGTAATCCTGCACTGTCTGACCATATTGATATTTATACCATACATTTAACTGATTGTACAGAATCGCTTTAAAGAAGAAGTCTGATGTACACACATCACATAAAAACGTCAAGCCTTAAATGCATGAATGGCACAGACAAAAATATCACAAATACAAAAATGATTTTTTCTACAGAAAAGCTGTGAATTTATATGAATAAATTACACTACAAATGTTCAGTAAATAAACCATTTGTGCTGCTGCTTTGAAACACCACTATGTTTGAACAGACAACCACTCTCACTTGATTGTATCAGACTCCCCTTCACATACACACACAAAAACGTATGATTTCCTATAACTACATATCTACACATATAATACAAACAAGCTGCTACATGATAAATACTTGAGATGTCTGACGAAAGACCCACTTGCCATTATGATGGCCCACACACTCCAAACTTCTTTTCACTACTGGCAAACTCTCTCTCTTTAGAATCAATTCACGCTAGGGTGATGACTTGTTCCTCAATTTCTCTCCCATCCCCCAGCCTTTTTCCATGGACAATGACTTCTGCATGGTTTGCTGGGTTCAGCACGCACTCTCACGCAGTATGGTAAGACACTGTAGGAGTTCTTCCTATGTTATGCTTCCTTGGCTTCCCCCATCACAACCTTATTATAGCAGTTTACATGCTACATTCTACTTCATTCTCAAAATATATAATTTAGTTGCATAACGGCCATATCCACTTTTATTTTTTTCAGTATTCTAAACAAAGGAATGTAACTTACAATCTGTATCCTATATAAACTAGTATGTATTTACGAAAACATTATTATAAACCATTACATCCTTTAGTGTCAAACTGAATTTTTCTGTATACAAGAAATATTCTGGATAAGGTCTGACTGTTTTCACTGGTTTCAGCAAGGGGTAAATAGGACTTCCACTTCAATGATCCTTACCATATCCGGTGACTGTACAGAACTGTGCGCCCATGACAACATTATGGAGCAAACAATTACAAATGTAAATCACCTGAATCACCCATCTTCTGGTCTGTATACCACCTAACTTAGCTGACTTAACAATCATTATCAGAAGACCTGAAATCCCAATATGGAACCAATTCATTATACAAAAAAAAAAGACAGATTTAAGAACAGAGACAGAGAATTGACAACATCTCACACCTCTACAACAGTAGTCTAGATTTGTACTTGGAAGGTACCCAGTTCAAATCTCAGTCAAGCTATCATATATACTGACTGATGTTCTTTATGGTTTTCCTTAGTCTATCCAGGCAAATGCTGTGTTAGTACCCTCCCACAGGCCATGACTGTGTCCTTGTAAAAACTTACCTGCTCACTATTCTAGGCCATTTTCTCATCATCACTTTATAATCCATGCAGTTGAAAGAGCATATATAAATAACCTAAGCATGAACTACTTAATTCACTTCCAGAAACGGAGGCCAGGTACTAAAAATTTATGACTCCTGAGGTCACGCTTCAGGCTTATAGCATACAACATGCTAGCTATCCTTCAGTAATATATGTACTTTGTTCTATCATTGTCAATAAATGTGACTGAAAATTCAGCATCTCTTATTACTTTCCCTTATTACTCAATGTAGCTAAGGAGACTAAAATTTATGACATTACAAAATGAGGAACTTGGTGAGTTATACACACCATAAAGTGTTGCTGCACAGAGAAACTTAAGCTATGGGAGGCTGGATATGTGGCTGGGGTGGAGAAGGAAATGATTGCATATAGAATTTTTGTAGGAGAAACTTCTTTGAAAATGGCAAATCAAAGATATCAAGAACAAATTAAATAATACTAAGATGGATCCTAGAGAAGTAGTTAGTCAGGATGAGAGGTAAATGGACATGCTAGGATCATGGCCAAAGGCAGGCACTGGCAGCTGTAGCTTCAGGTTATGTTACCAGAGTGCTAGTTGTTGATTTGAACAGACTTCTTGCTTGTGTAAAACTATTCCCCATAAGAAGAAGTCCTCTGTTATTCTAAAAATATTAGCTGTGAAATTCTGCTAATCATGTGTATTATACAGTACAACCTTGTAATACATATTAATTAAAAAGATGAGCCATCTCTACTAATTGTTTCCACTCTGTTTGGCATAAATATCAAGGACAAGTAAGGAATGATAATGATTGTTCTGCTGTGTAACATTGTGGGTTACACTGTTCAGTGTAGATGAGAAGAATAAGGAGATAAAAGCTAATTTATCATTCATCTAATTACAAAAAGTTCATATGTTTCTAAGAATTCTCCACTTGTGAGAACAGTGAGAAGACACTGTCATAGCTTTGGGCCTGCAAAGTTGACACAAAGTTCTTAATCATATTACTAAACAAAATGACATAATATGTGAACATTTATGAGGACAGAGCAGAGACACTGACTTTAAGTGTCACAATTTTGCACATATAAAGCGGATTTGAAACAAACTGACATGACAAGATTAGGTATTTGGCTGAAGGTGGGATCATTAGTTTCACTCTTTGGGAAGTGTCATTGAATGTTTTCTGTGAAACTAATTCTTGTACTATTTCTTAATCAAACTAGTCTACTAATCATGCTATGACTCTTAGCACAGTTAGGTACTTTGCTGCAATTGCTGCTATTTAAATTCTGTGGGCATATATTACTAACAATCCAAAATCAAGAAATATTTTGAGTTGATGTACAACACTAACAATAAATAATGTGCATACATTTTAAACACATTTGTTAATAAAATAACTACAACAAATGACCATAACATTTCTGAGCCTGAATATAGGAGACTAACTTGTATTGAAGATTACCATTAAATGAGACACAGATGAAGAAAACTGGGCGTTATACTTCCAACATCACTGGTTTACAAGCCAAATCCTGGGACAAACACTGTGTTCTATTTTCCAGCAACAGGGTCAACATTCATTTCAATGCAAAATGGGGTGAAACTGCATACACTCACGTGATATTGAGCAAATTTAAAGAGAGAACAAAGTCAACTACATGCATAATGTGATGGCATTATGTAGAAGGAAGCTCATGACATGTTTTTAGCACCAAACTTCCTTTCCTTTACCAATTCATACCATGTTGAACGCTGGTGCAAGCAGTCATTATGGCAGAGTGATACCTCTGAATCTAATAGTGTCAGTCTTCCATTTGTGGGATTAAGGAGAGAATAATCCAATTTTTTCATGGAGTGTGCCAGCATGGTAACTTTTACCAGGACCTAACCACGAAATACTGGAGAAAAGTTCCTGTTTGACATGCCACTGACAAGTAGAAACATTATAATAAATCCAACATTCGTGAGTTATCAATTTATGCATCTGTCATTAGGCTACATGCTGGACAGCTGGGTTTCGATTCCTGGCAGAGGAAAGGAGATTTTTCTCTACTCCACACTGTCCAGACTGGCTCTGCGGCCCACCAAGCCTCTGACTCAATGGGTGCTAAGGCTTTATCTGCTGGATGTAAAGTGGCCAAGGAGTGAAGCTGATCAATCACCTCAATATAGTACAAAGTTCAAGAATGTTGGAGCTATACCTTAACACCACTATATGTCATAATGGCATAGTGCTTAGGTAATTAAGCACAGGGACAATTTTACTTTTACTTTTTCATGAGAATAAGATCCCACAGTTTTCCACTGTACACCATGCGGGTATATATATATAGAAGATTAAGTGGTTTCAGAGGATGAAAAACTACAGCCCTCTCCCCCTTCTGGATCGTTCTGGTAGCCAAGACTCCGTGAGAATGTTCGAGAATTATATCACCTGCATAAAAGTGTATGGAATTAGCAAGTTAAGTGAGTCTGTGTACAGTGTTTGTGTTGTGAAGCAGTGTGCTGGAAAGCAAGTAGTGAGTCCTGTGCTGGCAGCATCAAAGCAATTGAAAGAAGACAGTGCAGTGGTGTTCAATGAAATAGCAGTGAACTAAATCAAAATGATGTCAAGACTGTAAGTGGTTATGGAAAATAACTGCTTCAAAACAAGACAAAAATTACAATATGACTGTGGTCTCATTCTGCACATATAATTGCAGAGACAGTCCAACAGTGAGAAAAGTTTGGTCAACCACAAGTTGCAGAGAAATGAAGGGGGAAGACTGTTGAGACTAGAAATGACTCTACTTGTGAGATTTCATTCTTACAATAAGTAACACTAATAAGTACAGGGAAAGGAAAGAACCTGTTATATCAAAGCACAAACAAATGAAGGAATCCATATGTTTTGGACAAGATGATGAATAGGGCCAGTAAATGCAACAGAAATGAAACAAATAATAAATATGGTGTGAAAATGAATGGGCTCACAATAAGAATGACATTAATATCACTGAGGCTCTTTTGTATCTGTCTATCAGTTACACAGAAACCTACCTTGACAATACCGATAACCTGACTACCTTTTTGTATCAATTGAAAATTAAAGATATAATACTGTTTAAGTTCATTTCCAAGTAGAGAATGTAAAATTCAACTGAAAGTGTAATAGTACATACATTTGTTGTTATGTCTGTCTTGAGATTTCAGGTACAAAACTACAGTGTTTTGGGATGTGATGCAGTGTGGTTTGGTTGATAGGTTCCTCTGAAATGTTGGTAATTATCTACTAAATTACATGACATCACATCCCTGAAGACTGTTTTCTCAGTCTCTTTGCCTTGTTTCCCACCAAGCTGCCTTTCCAATGGATACCAAAGTTAATGTAGCAGAAGTGTGAAGTTGACCACCCACCTATATTTAGTTTCAAGACTCATCGTCTTTTATACATCCAGTGATTGAGACTAGCTCTTTCTAACGGGCCCAACTGAGTAGGTTTATCCTGTCCCATCCACATGAGGACGGAGACAGATCCAGTCTCTGGAACATTGTGGTTTTTGAAGAAAGCAGTCTTCTGGGCTTTGGCGCCGTGTATACGTGGTGTTAACCGACGTTTCGGAGGAACGTATTCTGCGTTACCGTGTCTCACGGTGTTGTCGCTTGCAGATTTACCTATACTTTTTCTTCAACCCTGAAGATGGGGGCGATACGTTCCTCCGAAACGTCGGTTAACACCACATATACACGGCGCCAAAGCCCAGAAGACTGCTTTCTTCATAGTCACCGCCGTGAAAGCCTCAAATCTTACATTGTGGTTTTTGTCTTCTATATACCAGACGATGGATAGAGTCCAAACTAAGCCTAATAGTTCTGTACAGCATACACCATCATCAGAATCCTTTCAAGTCAACCTGAAGGATCATTATTATGTTCACAAAACCCAGTACTAAACTTTCTCCTGTGCCACATGAATCCAGTCCAACTACCACATATCATTCTCTTTGGGATCTACGTCAATTTCATTGTTCCAGTCATGCCTGTATCTCACCACAGTTCTCCTCTCTGCAGGATATTCAAGAAAATGTTGTACCATTTCTCATCTCTATCATGTGTATTATATGGCTTTCCCATCTCATCCAAATAATATTCGGTGAAGCATAAGATTTATGGACTTCTCTATTATGTAATTTTCCATATCATCCTACTGCTTCCTCTGTCTTAGCTCTAGATATTCTCCTCAGCACTCTGTTCTCAAATACTCTAAATTTATATTCGCTCTTACAGTGAGAGACCATGTTACAACCTGAATAAAAAATAGGTAAAAATTATATTTTTAGAATTAATTTTTTTAATAGTTTTGTTTTTCTCCTATCTAAAAAGTAAAATTAACTGTTGCATCTCACATTCAAGCTGAATATGCTTGAGCCCCTGGAAACATTTTGGCTTTTCTGTAACATTAGATACTGGAACTCACTTTTCAGGGCTCTGTCTGAAGTGCAACATGGCAAACTGGAGAAGAGAATGTTTCCCATCGTGATGGCCTGGAGGTTCTGGTGGTTGAGGTGATGAAGTTATGATATTTCTCTGCTGGTGGTGTTGTTGGTGGTGATGCTGCTGCTGTTGCTGTGAGAGTGTGGTGTTTGTGTGTGATTGCAGTATTGCTGATTGCTGGTGTCCTGCAGTGCGGCTGTGCCCAGTCCAGCTGTCAAGAGCTATCTTTGATGGAGCCAGCCCATCTGGAATATGAGGAGCAGCCTTCTGCTGCAGCTGAAAATGTTAAAGTAAAGAAAACTAATTAAAATTCATCACTTGATTATCTATTGATCATTCACATTAAATAAAATCCTAATTATTTGATATTAACACATCCTTACTGTCTGACACTATGCAAAAAATCCTTGAGAAGCTGTAACAAATTTGAATCTGTAATACTGGATAATGATTGTCTTCCTTTCTTCTTACCCCTAATTAACGTTAAATAGATATGGAGTAAAGACAGTTAAATTACAAGTGAGGCCAATACATGTCCATTCACTAATGAAAATATTAAGTTGCAAATATTTTGTGTCAACAAAAGAGGAAATATAAGTAATAGATTTGTGAGTACCGGGTGAAATTTCTAATATACTCATATTTAGTAATAGGGCAATAACAGAGACAAAACTATAGTTATTTGAGGGAAACTTGTCTGGTTTTGTTGAAAGAACTTCTTTCTTTCACTTCTTGTTATTTTCTGTTATTCTCAAATAAAAGTGTGATTTAATTATTCATTGTTCACAGACCATGTACTTCTGGTGAATTTTCCACTACTATACAAAATTTGGCAACTCATTATATTGGTAATGATCGAGGAGCAGTTAACACTGAGGTTCAAGATGGTGGAATTACAGGAGAAAAATATTTTGATATGCTGGAACACTACTTTTCTGATGAGCTAACTGATTGTGGGTTAATTGGTAAACATTTGCGGGAGTTGACATTCTCACAGTGGTGAATATGAAGAGTTATATTTTTTGGATATGCTGCTACCTAGCCTGCTGAAAGTCAACTGATATTCTGGAGGAATGCCTTGCCTTCACCTTCAGGGTCAAAGAGTAAACCAATAAAGAAACCAGCAGGAAGCAGGTAGAAAGCAGGTTCTTACTTGGTATATTCTTTGACCTTGCAGATGAAGGTGACATGGTCCTCTGAAATTTCATTTGATTCTCAATTGACTACATGATGTTATACCTCAGAAAACATAGCTCTTGGTAAATACTGATTTGAAGCTTTCATGGTGACACCGTACAGTAGTCTTCTGCAGTGATCCAGTCATAGTAATGTTGAACTGGTGTCTTAACGTTTCAGGGACTGCCTCGGTCTCCATCATGGTGCGACAGTCCCTGAAACATCAGGCACCAACTCCACATTACCATGGCTGATCACCCTAGAAGACTTCCCTGAATTGATAATATTATCTTTCAGTCACATGGCGCATCAATCTATTACTCTGATTCTGTAAGAACTGCTTCAATGCAACCAAACTGGCATCATGGCTTCACTGCAGTATTACTATTATGCATCTACAGGAATTTGAATCAAGCAAAGTACAAATGTCTGCAAAAAATAATTTTAATATAAATGTCTGTCAATTTTTCTTTCAGCTACTTAATATATTTTTTTCTTTTCAATCCAAATGGTTTGCTCTAAGTGGTACCTGTTAATACACTTTCATAAATACATCATTTTGCCTTAATTGCCCTCACACATATTTCTGTAAGATAGAAACATATTGCATTTGTATCCTCTCTTATTTGACTGAAAAAAAATAACTTTACCTTCACCACTTCCATAATTTACCTCCTAGCACCCTCTACGCCACAGTGTAACGTTGAGAGTTGCTCTGGCATAAATCATACAGAACTGAGCACATCATCATATAAACAATAGAGTGAAGAGACAATGGCAGGAAGGAAGAGAATATAAAAAGTGAATGGTAAGAGAGGGCATATATGAAATTTTGATTATTTACAAGGCCGCAAGATTAGCGGAAAAAGTCATGAAGGAAATGTGCACACCTTCAGGCAACACTGTTAATTGCTGTATTATCATAACAAATGTGATGCAGGGACCACGCCACTGCACATACAGACATGTTAAGTAGACACAGATGATGATAATCTTACATGAAAAGTAATTACATTTAATTTGCATTTCAAAATAAAATTGAATCACTTATATTATAGACAGCTCATTCATTAGTTTCCATTAAGGCCAAATATTTTGTTTTGTTTTTTTAATTAATATATTTGTTTCAGCACTAGTGACTTCTTGTCTGTATGAGAGACTCAGTTTCAGCATATTCACTTCCCCTTGAAACCTAATTTTCTAAATGCAGCTTACTGTTACACTCCTGTTTATGAAGTTTACCATGTGACCTCTTGTCAACACTTTATATGCCTTGTTCTGTCTCCCATATCCAAGCTACATACATATCCAGACTTCTGTAACCTCCTTGACTGCATTACATTAATAACACTAGATTACATGAAATTTCTCATTAAGCAACATCCTCCATCTGCCTGTCTATTTAAACATTCTTAAACAAAAATATTTTTCTAAGTTATTTGCTTCCAAATACAATTTTCAAATTTTCACACTGTAAAAAACTAATTTCACAACCACATAAAATGACCAATGAAATTACTTCCTTAGATATCTTAATTTTTATCTGTTGTGCACACAGGACAATAATTAATAAGACTGAAATTCTTAAATTTATTCTTCTCTTCACTTCAGAGAATCTGGTCTTGTATATTACTGACATTTCAACATATCTAATACTGCCCCTTTGAGAAACAAAGCAAGAATACTAACTATTTCACCAGAATATATGATTGCACTATATTAGATTCTCACATAAGAGGGACAGTTGTTTTGTTTGCACTGCCAACCTAATGGTTTGAACTTCTTGTTAGTCCATTTAGTAACTAACTAACTAACTAACTAACTAACTTAATTAATTCACTTAGTGGGGGATTGAGTCCAACTGGGTCCCCTCAGCATGGCGGCCACTGATTGGCCTATTGCAGCCTGCCCCGGGTGATTATGATGATGGAGAATTTGGTGGAATGAAGATTGACAAGGGAAACTGAAGTACTCAGAGAAAACCCGCCACAGCGCCACTTTGTCCACCACAAATCCCACTTGACCAGACCCGAGATCGAACCTGGGCTGCTATGGTGGGAAGCAAGCTACTAACCTCTTGAGCTATGTGGCGGCCAAATAACTAATTTTGTTGATTCACTAACAATACAATTTGGATGTCTGACACCACTAACAAAATTCTTGGTTAATTTATTATGGTCCTAACAACTAAAACAATTTAGTTTCTGTCTTTACCCAAGTTCCCCCTTAAAAACGCATGTAAAAAAACCTTAAAAACTACATACTCACAACCATTAACTGAAAGTTGAATTGTTTCTTTTTGGATATTAATAATGATCCACAAAGAGACAGTTTGGAACAAAGTGAACAAACACAACACTCAAATATCCATGATCTCTGGGTATAAAAAAACCTACATCACTAAAAGGTAGATGGTAACTCCCACATACTCGTATTTCTACCATTGCTGTGCCGGGACTGTCTTTACCCACAGCACTGAAGTTGATCTAGAGATTAAACATGGAAGAAAGCTGCCTGCTGTGTTTTAGTTTCACTTCTAGGAAGACTGACACAGCAGTAAATCACAAAGGTGAACGTTTTTCTGCTGAACCAAATACAACTGAAGCGCAACAATTCAATTCTACATAACAAGAAACAGCATTACATTATCTGTCTTTGGTGAGGCGATTCAACCAATTGCTACAGCATTTGCTTATCTGAACTCTCACAGCCCTTATAGATAAGTAAGAAGGAATATTAATTGATATCAATCCATTATGAAACTGAAAAGTTCAAGCAAACTAAACATGAACTTTTTGTAATTGTTTTCACTTTTACTTTCAACAGAACTTATATTTATGTACAAGCCATTACACTTTTTCATCTCTCTGTATTTCATGCAGTAATTTAATTCTGACTTTATGTTGTCTATGTGAAATGCCAGTCAGCATTCTCTCATCATTTTCTCTTTATTGTCACTACATGTTTTGGCCCAACTGGCCATCATCAGGTGTTCAGGTTGTTGTGATGAAGGAATCTTCTGCTAATTGTAATGCTGTTCTGATAATGGCCAGTTAGGCTGAAAATGATGAGAGAATATTAACTGTCGTTGCATATAGATGACAAAAAGCTGAACACAAAGACTGATCTTTGCAGTGCAACAGGATGCTGCAATTTAAAATATAAATGTTGAAATATACGGTTTGTAATGTTTCTTCAAGGACATTATTCCTCTGAGGCATAGAGCTATTGCTAAGTGGTGACTCTGTAAACAACAGCCATTGTTATGGAAGAGGAGAATAAACTAACACCCATTTCTATGCAACGGTTAATTATTGCTGACTATAACAATGGAAACAGTGTTTTCTATGTGGTTTGGGCTGAAATGTTATAAGCAGGGTCAGTCAAATTCCAGAGTTAGAAGCTGTCAGCAGTTCACTTGAGTGAAATAATGTGAAGCAACTGGTTGGTGAGTGAGAGAATTTAGTTATCAGTTGGAAGTCATACTGTGAAGAGAAGACTAGAAGGTTGGTGTGAAATGACCGCCTGCCTGGAACCCAGTTAGTTGAGTTGTCAGTTGAGATGCAGTTCTGCATAGGCAGCTGTGGCAAGAGGGTCTGACAATGGAAGCTTTAGAATCTCCACTGTGTCAAATCTCTTGCCAGGAAATGGCTAGAGGAGACTGTAATAGACTGAGCACACTAGTCTGTGTATGCAATGATCTGTAAACTGTAGTTCCAAGTGGTGTATACAAGTGGTCAATAAATACATTCATCAATTCATACCCTGTCTGTAAGTCACACACCTCAAAATCATGACAATGTCTTAATTAACAAATGTTGTATGTAAAATGTACAAATGAGTCATAAGCTGTTATATCATCACTGTACCGTAATAATTTTAGGAGCCGGTTTAGCTCTGTCAGTATAGAAACAGGCTACAGGTTGGATGGTTGGGGTTTGATTCACAGCAGAAGCAAGGGATTTTCTCTTTTCTACATTGTCCAGGCCGGTTCTTGGGTCCATCCAGTTCCTATTCAATGGGTACCAGAGGCTCTTTCCCTTGGTGAAAAAGCAGCCGGAGCGTGAAGCTGACAACTCCCCTGCATCTAATGTCAAGGT